TCCACTCAATAGTTTATTTTCCTCAACCATAAATCAGACCAACCATTACCGCGCTATTGATAAAAGAAGAATGGCGTCCGCCATCTATAACTACCCTCATAAGACGAGATGTCCTTTGTACTTACACGTATTATGATGTTTAGACGTAGAAAAAGCATAGAATATCATTAGATATGTAGTTCTAGTCGTTTCCCGCTGCGTTGCCAGCTTGTATGTAGTTCCCGTATATCATTTCCATTGGAACTCTCCATGAGTCCGGTCTTATATTGTATTATATACTTAAACGATAATTACGTACCTAATACCTTCATAAAGTTTCAGCCAATTCAACTGATCGGTTATTTTATAGCATTTTATATGTGACTCTTTAGATTGATATAACTTTTTTTATTTATAAACCGATTGAAATAAAATAAACACTAAATGTTTACTGGAACAAACCGCAATGCATTAGTGGAAACCCGTTACGCCGTTCCTGAGATTAGCGTGTACAAACGTACAGACAAACAGACAAAAATTATAAAAAATAAAGATTTTTTTGGGTTACATTGCGTTCATAAAGTCTCCCTATAATAGTTTTTTTTATATATCTTCCATGTACAGACAGCGAGCAGTTACGATTTTATTATATGTATTAATGATTTTATACAACTTAGAATGGCAACCAAGCTAACGGCCCACCTGATGGAAAGTGGTAACCGTCGCCTATAGACATGAACAGTACAATGTATAAAACAAAGTCCCTTCCCGCCGTCTGTACACTTAGATCTCTTAAACTATGCAACAAATTTTAATACGATTTTTATCAACGGATAGAGTAGTTCAAGAGGAAGATTTATATGTATAGTTTAATATTGTTTTATGTTATTTTTTTTTAAACATGACGGTAATTGTTCAAGATGGCGGAAGAAATCATGTCGACTGCGAGCTTTCTTCGTAAATGTTAAAATATACCAAAATAATGTATGACAGAATCGACGGCATTCTATATTATACGGACAGCTTTCTTTAACCATTTTAGTTTCAAAAAAATTATATAAATCATGTGGAAGGGGGGAAAGGGATTGTTACTGATGGAGACTGAGAATTCCCATATACCCAACCAGGTCAACCTCCTCGCGGTTCCCCGTGGAATCTATCATGGTTAATTCCTGATGAATTCATCATGATGGGCTAACTGGCCTGTTTTCATTCTCATCTATCACCCTTCACTGGTGCTCCGCCAGCGTATCCCGCTAGCGCAGGCGGGGTTACCATACCATTTTCACACATCAAAAAAAAATCATGTGGAATTTAGATAGTTATTTTTTTAATGGATAATAATGGAATGGTAATGTAATGGTGTATTGCTAGCAATAAGATTACTAATACCCATTATTAACCATCCATTCTCCCCCTGGTTATTGCAGTTTTTTTTTTAACAATAATGGAATGGCAACCCCGCCTGTGCTATCGGTATACGATGGCGGAGGACCGGTGAAGGATGTTAGGTGATGATGAAAGCTGGTCAGTTAGCCCATCGTGACGAATTCCACTAGAATTAACCACGATGGTTCTCTAGAGGGAGTCGCGTCGAGGTTGACCTGATAGAGTAAATTGCTAGCAGTGGTTCAGTTAGATCCCATTATTATCGCAGTTAAGTTTTAAGAGGGACGCTACTGCCCATCCCTCGCTCTCCCTTGGTCGCCTCTTACGACAATCACGGGAAAGGAAGGGGGGCCTATTCTATGCCGGGACCACACGGTATAATATTGTAGACATGTTATGCTATAAAGTGCAAAGCCAGTGGCGTAACAATAGGGTGGCAGGGCTGGCAAAATGCCACGGGCCCCCGACCCAAAAGGGCCCCGGCTCAAGAGGCCACGAGCTCAGAATTTTTTTTACCTTGTACCTGAGTATTTTAATTTCCTTGAAAATAAATGTTAGGGCCCCATCAAAAGAATATGCCACAGGCCCCAAATGGTATAGTTACGCCACTGTGCAGAGCGCTTGCAGATCGTACGAGTTAACAAAACACCGATTGTCATTAAAACACAAAAACTACAAATAATACAAACTAAATAACCCATCAATTGTGAACAGCTGTCCAAACGCCATTTTTAGACGCGGCAAAGGCGCGAAACCGTCTCAGCATTTCGCGCCTCATTGCAACTTTAGGACGCAATTTTCGGTTCCATTTTCAAAGAGACACTAAAATGTTGCCAGAGCAATAAAATATCTCAAGTGGAGCGTGGTGTTGCCAGTCGTTGCCATCGAAAACAAATTGGTTAATTGCTTTGTAGGCTATAAATAATGTTGGGAGGAAGTGACAAGGATTCTAATTAGAGATGAGTGTTGACATATTTGTATTGGCTAGTTAGCTTGTACTTTGTTCTTTATTAGAAAAATCTTTTTTTTTTCTTCTATATATAGAAGATTGTATATTTAGTTCGTCTTACTTTATGGTAAAACCTAAATAGGATGTTTTAATTATAATAGATAGTGTCTCCATACAAATGCTTCGAGAGAAACGACTTAACTTTTTCATACAATTCTGCATGACAAATAGTTATGAGGGATTCCTTTATAACTTCTATATTTATTTTGTTTTACAAATTCTGCATCCTTTTAATGCATAAACACTCATTTTAATTATTTAATAATACGTCAAGATACATTTTATGCGTAAGTATATAAAACACTGATACAAAAACACAAACGTTGTTTTTGTAACGAAAAGTTGACAAGTTTTTGAGGCACGAGGCTCTATCTATACAATCAAGAATAAAACTTACTATTGCATTGTTTTATCGCAAGCGTATTAGAATAAAAAAAAAAAACTTTATTTCAGGCATATAGCTATAGTTTACATTACTTCATTCATTAGGTAGTATAATTTAATTTAATTAGTGTAAATTTAAATAATACACGGAAAAAATGCCCTCGGAAATAATCCTGGGTTTTGAAACACCCAAACCGTCGACTGGTATTGATAAATCCAGGATTCATCACCTGTAACGATGTCGTAAACACACCGAGACGAGTCTGCTTCAAATTTGTCTGTCATATCATGGCACCATTCCACCCTTGTCTGTTTCTGAACATCGGTGATGTTGTGCGGCACCCAGCGTGAAACTCTCCTCCGCTCCCGTAGATGCACGTGTAGAATCTCGTGAAGGCTTCCCGATCCGATCTGCAATATATGCTGAATCACTTGGTATGTAACTCGTCTATTGTCTTGGATCAAATTTTTCACTGCTAGCACGTTTTCTTCCGTAACAGCCGTCAAAGGGCGACCACTTCTTTCTTCATCCCCCAAAGTTAGTCGACCGCGCTTAAATTCATTATACCAACGATACACGGTTGCCTTAGAAGGGCCTTCATCCATGAATGTCATTTGAAGTCTATCGTAGGATTCGTCCGGTTTCAGGCGACACTTATGGTAAAATCGTAAAAAATCATAGCGCGAAAATGTTCTCGACGTAAATCTATTTTTCAATGAGACACGGTAATTTTAATTAGCTCGCAAAAAAATGTGGAGGCAAGTTTTGAATTTAGAACGTACCTATTTTTACTTATAAGTAATCATATTTTTAAATAAATTATAACTGGCCAGTCTTACATACATAAAAACTTTTTCTCGCAATGCTTTCTGAGTGACCCGGTACAAAAAAAAAGGAAAATACATAAAAGTAACATAACAGTTACAAAATGGTTAGGGTTTTTTTTTTAATGAATGATAATAGAATGGTAACCCCGCCTGCGCTATCGGTGTACACCGGCGGGGCACCAGTGAGGGATGATAGGTGAGGATGAAAACCTGCGTTTTGACCTGCGTCAGTTAGCCCATCGTGATGAATACACATGGAATTCAGCACGATGGTTTCCAGGGGGATCACGGTGAGGTCGACCTGTAATGGTATATTGTCAGCAATGGGACTGATAATCCGCATTACTAACAATCCCTTTCCCCCTGGTTAAGGGGTTAAGCATGTTAGTAATGCGGTATAAAATTCCCATTGCTAGCAATGTACCCTATCAGGTTGACCTCCATGCGGCTTCCCTGGAAATCAGTTTTTATTTATTCTATATAAATTCCTAACTATAGGCCAACTGACCTGTTTCATCCTTATTTATTATTTCTCACTGGTGCTGCGCCAGTGTATACCGATAGCTTGGGTAATGTTACCATTCCATTATCATTCATTAAAAAAAAAAACACAAAATGATCACAACTCAATTTATTGCTTTGCCCTCAAAAGAGCTAAACACTGATTTTTTTTTATACAACTTAGAATGGCAAACGAGCTGACGGCCCACCTGATGGAATGTGGTATGGCGTGAATTTCCTGAGTCCTCAGGAATGGCAGTATACTTTGTTATGTTCATGGTACTGCTCATGTCTATAGGCGACGGTTACCACTTTCCATCAGGTGGGCCGTCAGCTTGTTTGCCATTCTAAGTTGTATAAAAAAAATTAAAAAAGAAGTGTTTTTTCTAGCTAGCAAATCGTCCGATAAACATTATCATTATATCGTATAAGCCATTGTCTGTCTACTGCTAAACATAGACTTCCCCTATAAACCGCCATAAGAAATAGTTCCAAGCCACCTGCATCCACTAACTCTAATATTTACAATTAATTAGGCGAGTGATGACATCTAGTATCGAATAGAAAACTAATGCGTAAAGTGCCATCTAGTAATAAATAGTTGATCACAAACTTTTACGTTACAAGGTCACATGAAAAAATGTGCCATAGATAAATATTTTCAAGGTTATAAAGTTCAAATAGTCGTTCGAAAACGATAATTTACTATGTAAAAACAATACCATTTTATTTACTTGATATAACATACATAATAGTATGTTTGCATTAAAATCAAATTATGAAGAAGATTTTAATATGTAAATTTTTAGCGTAAATCATCAAATTTTTATTTTCTTATTTATGTATCCACGAAAACTCTTTAGTTGTCTATTTGTCTTAGGGATTTATTCTTGAACGACTACAAAAAACAAAAACACGTCAGCTGTCAAAATTTGTTGTGTCATGTCTGTATATTATTTTTGTTCGTAACAAAGCTTATAAATCGCAAAAGATAATTTAATAACTTTGAAAACTTTACAACTAAGCTAGTAAACTGTAATTTACTTGTAACCAGAATGCATTGGTACGGAGGGAGCATCGCCGAAGCGGTGAATTTATCCAAACAGAAAAATGCAATTTTCGTCGTTTTTATCGAAGGTATGGGTTTCTTTTCATTAATATCATTTCATTTAAGCCTTAACTAATGATAATGTTTATTTAAAAAATTATATAAACAATCGTAACTCTGAAAAAATCACTAGTAATTACGTCATATTTGAATACAGTGCGTGTAGTTTGCATTAAATTTTCCTATTGTTTGTTTGACCTAAAAATTGTATAATATGTTGTAACACACATAAATGATTAGTTATCACTATCAACAGCGTATTATTTAGCAAAATCTTTATTAAACAATAGAAATTAATATATTCTTAGTAACAATTTATTATCTGTAGTATATTTTATTTTTTATTACTGTTCGTGCTGATTGGTTCCATATGTACTCTTGTACTATAACTTACTTGGAGATAATGTAATTCTTTGATAGTGAAAGAATTTTTAGAATTAGTTCAGGTATTGTGGTGTACTACATACATACATACATATCTGTCACGCCTGTCTCCCATTAGGGTAGGCAGAAACAATGGAACACCAAATGCTTCGATTCAAACAAACCTCTTTCGCTTCTTGTGGTGTACTAATAAGTGGTAAGTATCTACCACCTCTTATAAGTTTACCTCGGCCACCTGCCTGACGTCAATCATCTTTTGTTTGCTACCCTAATGATAAAAAAAAAATTATTTCATTCTCTTTTCAACAGGTGACAACGATCTGTCAACTGAGATGGCAGCCACTATCGACGACACGGCCGTCGTGAAGAGGCTCTCCAATGAGACCAACTTCCTTGCCATCAAACTGAAGAGTGGGACTACTAACTATACACATTTTGCACAAATTTGTATCCTTTTGTACTAGCAATCATTAATATGTCCAGTGTGGTCCCAGCATAGAATGTGCCACCTCTTTCTTTCTCATGCGTAAAAGGCGACAAAGGGTATTTAATGATCATGAAACGGGCAGCACCATCCTTCTTAAAACACAATTGAAGGTAAACTGTGGTTGCCAACCCACCTACCAAATCTGGCAACTAATGGCAAAACCTCCCAAGGAGGTCTATATTTAGTAATAAACAGATGGCTACTATGATATATATATATATATATATATATATATATATATATATATATATATATATATATATATATATATATATATATATATATATATATATATATATATATATATATATATATATATATATATATATATATATATATATATATATATATATATATATATATATATATATATATATATATATATATATATATATATATATATATATATATATATATATATATATATATATATATATATATATATATATATATATATATATATATATATATATATATATATATATATATATATATATATATATATATATATATATATATATATATATATATATATATATATATATATATATATATATATATATATATATATATATATATGATACATAGCAATTCGGCCTGGCTTTGCATGAGTAAATAGAATTTTCAAAAGCAACATATAGTCAATGTTACTTGCTGATAATGTAGGCTAGGTTAATTTTTTTTTTACTGTCATCACACAAAAAGTGCTGCACCAAATTGGATGCACTTTTCACAGCTGTGTTTCTGAAGTTAAAATTTCAGAAATAAAACAATGAGTGATTACGATAAAAAAAATAATGATTTAAAAAAAATTTGCCACTGAAGTGTTTTGTTCTTTTGTGTTAAATTCTCAATTTGGAAGCCTATAATATTTAATTAACACATAAGTTTATAGAAGGCTTTAGTAGTTTTTATTATGAATATTGTGCAATGTGGTATGTATATTGTGTGGTATACATACAGGCTTCAGCAAGAAACAATATATTATATAAACAAAAGTAATTTTATTTTTTCACGTAATCTCCATTTAACTCAATGCACTTCTTCCATCTGGTTTTGCAACGCCTGTATGCCAGTCATAAAAAAAGTTTCTTTAAGGCTTTTAAAAAAGTTACCCACCGCAGCTTTGACCTCCAAGGTGTTTTTTTAGGTTTGGGAATAAATAAAATTCTGAAGGTGCCAAATCAGTGTTTGATGAACACACGTTGCTCAATTTTCTCCATTCTTTAAAAATGCTACACTTAGGCTCACAAAATTCAGTCTAATTTAAAAACAGATAATGCTATTGCGATAGTTAATTTTACAATGTGACAACCAGAGAGTAAGCAAATCGAATGAGATCAGTTACATTAAAATAGTTCAAGTATTTATGTGTTGGGCCGCGAATATTGCGATCTACCCTCGTATATAGATACGTGATATGTAAATGTGATATGTAAATGTGATATGTATATAGTGTGATATGTAAATGTAATATGTATATTGTGTGATATGTAAATGTGATATGTATATTGTGTGATATGTAAATGTGATATGTATATTGTGTGATATGTAAATGTGATATGTATATTGTGTGATATGTAAATGTGATATGTATATAGTGTGATATGTACATTATTTGGTACGTAAATGTAATATATATATTGCGCAAGTATATTAAAGCCTTAACTCATAACTCAGATCAATTTGTACCTGTACCGTCTCTGTTCTTCATCGGACGGAACGGTACACCGCTGGAAGTGGTGTGCGCCGGAGTACAACCCGACAATTTGGCCACTAGGATTGACAGGATACTAGAGGAACACCGTAAGTGTACATTATTATACTAGCTTTTATCCGCGACTCCGTACGTTTGGGATAAGTCAATGATAGGAATAATTTTTTTTTATACCACTGAGGTGGCAAACAAGCATACGGCCCACCTGATGGTAAGTGGTTACTGTAACCTGCCTTTCTCCATCCCGTATAGTACGTGTATATCAAATTTCATGGCGGTTGGTTAAGCTGTTAAGATGTAACAAACAAATTAACTCACTTTTATATTAGTAAGGTTTTTGATTTTTGCCCATGACTTTGAACGTGGTTAAGTTCGAATTTTAAAATAAAAAAAATAGACTGTCTGGGGTTAAAAAAATTGAAAAGTGAGATATAGCTAATGCCCTTCTCCATCCTGAATTTTTTTTTATGCAACAAAGATGACAGAAAAACATACAGAACATGTGTGACGATAAACGGAATTGAATGTTTATACCAAATTTCGTGATGATTAATGGAACTGCTTCGTCATGTGGTCCCAGCATATGATAGGTCATCTCTTTCTTACCTATGGATGTTGTAAGAGGCGACTAAGGGTACTTAATAGTCGAGGGATGGGCAGCAGCGTCCGTTTTAAAACATCATCAGAGCCTTACTGCGGTTGCCAACCCGCTTGCCAAACTTGGCAACTATTGGCAAAACCCTCCAATTGGAGGAGACCTATGTTTAACAGTGGATAGTTAACGGCTAATATGATGATATGAGAATTAAATTAAACTATTAAACTGTTAAAAGATATATTTAGAGAAATGATCAGAATCGAGCCCATTATCAATGGAAAACATGGGTTGTATTTTATTAAAAAAAAAACAAATATTTTATCTATTTGTATGAGGTTGGGTGAATCGCTAGTTTACTATACTTTATTAATTTAATATAAATAAATAGATACTCTTTATTGTTACCTCCATAACATTACAATAGTAAACTTATTATAAATACAAACAATTACATGAAAATATTACACTTGGAAAACAATGATCGACCTTATCGCTAAGAGCGATCTCTTTCAGGCAACTTTTGGATGGAGAAAAGCAATTATAAACAGTTTAATTGGAAGCATGAATCTCTGTTCCAATAGCGATCTCTTCCAGGCAACGTTAATACCATATTTAATATTTTTTTATTTAGACAAAGAGAAGCCGTCCATACAGCCATCAACATCGTCACAGAATGTCAAGCAGCAAACGGTAAATTTGTTGCAATCCGAAGCGGCCGCCAACCAAGCCGCCAACGACACCGCACCACTGGCTCGGGCAGACCAGCCACCCAAACAAACGCCCATTGACGATTCAGGTATGTAGTTTTGCAATAATACACGCTTTATTACAGAAAAAGGTATTTTAAATTGATTACAAATAATAATTTAAGATTCGAACCCATCAAATGTAAATGGAACACCATTTATATCGTATATTTGGCCATTCGCAAAGGGAATCAAAACTATAGGGTATTATTTCCCGTTGACCTAGAATTATGAAATAGTGGCAAGAAGCAATGTCATGTAGCACAAGTAAAGGAATAAATCCGAAAACCGTAAATTTGTAGTTATTTCGCAGAAAAAAAATTAAACTTATTAAAAAAAATTGTACGGGAACCCTCGTTACACGAGTCCGACTCACACTTGATCGGTCTTTAAATTAAAATAACTAGGTTTGCTGTCATTGAAGAGTGTTTTTGTTTTTTGTAAAACAAAAATTATTTACACTACAAATTTTAATAACTCCAAGATCAAATATCTCACAATAGATACCTCATCACCTCCAGCAGCGAAGATACAGAAGACGGAGCACCATATCACCACATCTGATGAGGAGTATGAGGTGGTGTGCGATGGGGACGTATGCGTACGGAGGCCGAAGGTCAGGGCCGACGAGCCTGGACCCAGCCAGAGGTCCAGCCCGCCGGCATCGGAGCCTGTGAGTGCAGTTTTTAGATCATTCAATAATTTGGTATCCAATCAATGAATAATTTATTTTCAATCCATGAATAATTTATTTTTAATCAATAAAGAATTTGATTTCATACATACATACATACACATCTGTCACGCCTGTCTCCCATTAGGGTAGGCAAAAACAATGGAACACCAAATGTTTCAATTCAAACAAATCTCTTTAAATTTGATTTCAATCAGTCAATAATTTGATTTCAATCTTTGAATAATATATTTCAATCAATCAATAATTTACTTTCAATCAATCAATAATTTATTTTCAATCAATCAAGAATTTGTTTTCTAATCAATCAATTATTTCATTTTCAATCAAAGAATCATAATTTAATCTATTAAAATAATATTTTAAACGATTTTTTTCTCCCTTTTTTTATGCAACTTGATAAGGCAAACAAAACTGACAGTCTACCTGATGGAAAGTGGTAATTGTCGTCTATAGACAAGTCTCCCTCTGGTCATTAGATAGATACTCTTTATTGTTTCCTAAAAAAACATTACAATACTTAAATTATTATAGATACAAACAATTACATGAAAATACTACACTGAGAAAACAATGGGCGGCCTTGTCGATAAGAGCGATATCTTCCAGCCAACCTTTGGATGGAGACGAGTAATTGTAAACAGTCTGATCGGAGGCACGAACATAATTCTGTCATGAAACATATAAATACTATATAATTTCATCATCATTTATGAATCATCATCGATAATATGAATTATAGTTAACTGTATTTTTTTTACTGGATTCCTTCTGATTGTTTAGATGGAGACCGGTGCTGAAGCGGCAAGCAGCACCGCCAGTGTGGAGGACAAGCTGGACAAAGCCAAAGAGCTGATAGAAGCCAGACGAAGGGAGAAGGCAGCCAAAGAAAAGGAGGTACGCTACTGTTTTTGTTTTCTGCAGGGAACTATGGAACTGTCTGTCACCATGACGTGAACACTATCATAAACATTGTTCCCCCCACTATATATACTGTCTATGTAGTGGGGGGAAGGCGTTTTTTATGCAACTTAGAATGGCAAACAATCTGACGGTCCACCTGATGAAAAGTGGTAACCGTCGCCTATAGACATGAGCAGTACCATGGACACAACAGACTATACTGTTTCGCCCATGATACACCCCATGCGTTGTCATTCTTGAGGACTCAGGTGTTATTCCTCTGTACCCAGTAAATTCACGCCATATCCCACCCTTCAAACCGAAACACAACTGCTTCACGGTTGAAACACGAAAGGGACAGAGGTACCCAAGCAATCGACTTTTGTACAAAGTCTCCCTCTGGTAAGGAGGACCGCGTGGATGTAGGTATTTATATTATTAATAAATGGTTTAAATTTAGAAATTATGCTCTAGAGGTTTTATTTTTTAACTAATTTAAAAAAAATAATGTTGTCAATTTGTTTGTATTTTTTTTTAATATTTATTACCTTATAACTGTGTCAGTTGTAAACAGATTTATATGTGAATATAGATCTTTATGTGTAAGTGTATGCTTACAAATTGGTCCGATGAAAATTTTATCAAAATCGTTTCAGTAATTTAATTTTTAAATCAAAATAAACATGTTTCGCCACAATTGAGGTAATTTTTTTATGGATAACAATCTTAACTATTTAATAGATAAAGATGGAATGGTAACCCCACCTGCGCTATCGGTGCACGCTGGCGGGGTACCAGTGAAGGATGATAGGTGAGGATGACAGCAGACCAATTGGCACATCGCGAGGAAGTAACCACAGTGGTTTCCAGTGACCCTTTATATATCGACCTGCCATATGTTATTTTTCAATTTTAATTTATAATTAATTCCCCCTGTACGTCACAGTTGGAGATACAGAAGGAGCTAGAGCGTCGCAACTTGGGTCAGGGAGTCGCCGAGCTGAAGAGGTGGCAAGCTGAACAAGAGCTCAAGCAAATACAGGTACTGTTTTAGATAGATAGATACTCTATTGTTTCCTCCATAAGATTACAATAGTAAACTTATTATAAATATAAACAATTACAAGAAATAATAACAGGTTTTCCCAAGGTTTTTTCAAAAGACTACAGCATGGGGTTCTTCAAAAGGGGAGTAAAGAGGTTTCTTCAGGGTCGGCAACGCGCGCGTAATACCTCTGGTATTGCAGGCGTTCATAGGCTACGGTAACCGCTTACCACCAGGTGGGCCGTATGCTTGTTTGCCACCTCAGTGGTATAAAAAAAAAATTATGTACAATAAAATATAAATAAATAATAATAAATTTTTCTATCTTAAGGTTGTCTGGAAGAGATTGCTTAGCAATAAGACTATATTTTTGTTTTGCTAGATTTTTTTTTATACAACTTAGAATGGCGAACAAGCTAACGGCCTGCTTGATGGAAAGTGATAACCGTCGCCTATAGACATGAGCCAGTACCATGGACATAACAGAGTATACTGTTTCGCCCATGATACCCCCATGCGTTGCTATTCTTGAGGACTGAGGTGTCATTCCTCTGTATCCTGTAAATTCACTGCCATATCCCACCCTTCAAACCGAAACACAGCCACGGTTGAAACACGAATGGGACAGAGGTACCCAAGCAAACGACTTTTGTACAAAGTCTCCCTCTGGTGAATGTAGGTGGTTTACATGGAAGAAGGTTGCATTTCCCATATTTCGTGCAAATTATTAACAATATGTGAAATTTACATAATACTACATTATTTATTTATTTATTTATTTAACACTTTATTGCACCAACATAACATGATTTGTTAAAATAAATTTCAGTACATATAGTGTAGTACAAAAGGCGGTCTTATTGCTAAGCAATCTCTTCCAGACAACCTTTGGGTAGAAAGAGTTAAAGCATATATATTTCCTTTCATTAGTCATACATATTTAATACACACATAATTTATTACAGTAAATAGAAAATGTAACCTAAGGGCCAAAGTGTCAATTGTCAATTGCATCTTCAGCAAACTCTGTAATTTTGGTGCAATGAAGTGTCAAATAAATTTAAAGATTGCTTCTAATTGTTGTCGGCAGGAGGAGCGTAAACGCGAGAAGTTGGAGAACAACCTGGCGCGGCAGCGGATACTCGAGCAGATAGCGCAGGACCGCGCCGAGCGACGCGCGCGCGACCAGCCGCCGCCCGCCGCCGCGCCCCCTGCCGCCGCCGCCGCGCAAACACCGCGTCAGTACACAGTACACAGTACACAGTACACACCAGCATACCACATCGTAACCTTCAAGATACGGGGGCAAAGGGATTGTTAGTAATGGAGACTGAGAGTCCCATTGCTAGCAATATACCCAACCAGGTCGACCTCCGCGCGGTTCCCCCTGGAAACTATCATGGTTAATTCCTGATGAATTCATCATGATGGGCTAACTGGCCTGTTTTCATTCTCATCGATCACCCTTCACTGGTGCTCCGTCAGCGTATCTATAGTATATAAAAAAAATTGCAACCGAATTGAAAACCTCCTTGTTTTTGAAGTCGGTAAAAAATATATAGAATCCACTTTTTTTTTAATCGCCTCTTATGACACTCACGGGAAAGGCAGTGGTGGCCCATTATAGGACTACGTAGCAATATTAATTGTTATTTTATATAATCCTTCCTTATCCAGCAGCAGCGGACGTTGGTCGTACAGCGAGGTTGCAGTTCAAGCTACCAGATGGCAGCTCGCACACCGCCCACTTCGCCGCTGATGATTCTCTCGCCCAAGTCAACCGGTACATCGCTGATAACCTGCAGGTGAGTCCACCACACTGTAAGGAACTCTCTCTCGATCGATCTGAAGAGAAGTTCCAGTGTAGACAGATAGATAGATACCATTTAGAGACTATCGACTAAACTGTCTTTAAAAAAAAAACGTTCACACTCACTTTTTTACTTTATCCGAGCAGTAAGTGCTTTATATTATTCTCAATTTCGTGTATAATATAGTATATGTCATATATGTGTAAGTATATTTGTTATTCATATATATTTATACGTTTATATATGTAATTTTAGTATGTATGCATATCAATAATTACTAGTACCGCATTCGAGTATTCTGACACTTGATAACAGTTTCAAAAATCTTTCCCCATCTCTTTCCCTCGCATAGATGAGCCCGTCGTCCTTCTCGCTCTGGATAGCGTTCCCCCGGCGCGAGCTGACGGAAGCGGAAGCGACGCTGCGTCAGCTGCAGCTGGCGCCCTCTGCCGCTTTGCTGGTGCTGCCGCGTCGGGCCGCGCCCGTTATCGCCAAGCCTTCGCCATTCGCGACGCTCATCAGTATGTATTTTTTTTATAATAGTTCGACTTGTGCGATGCAGTGTAGGACGACCTTCCACTAGATGGAGGGGGGAAAGGGATTGTTAGTCATGGAGACTGAGAATCCCATTGCTAGCATGGTTTCTTGATAATCTCATAATTGTAAGTTATAGCGAATATCTAGCAAGTTTTTTTTTTATGGGATGAAAATGGAATGGTAACCCCTGGTGATGAAAATGGAATGGTGATTGGTTAAGCAGTTCTGGTACTATAATTAGCTGGTCGTCTACGATCTGGTCATTATCCATCAAAAAAATTTGCACATATGATGGGAAAGTCCTTGTCACCCCATTGTCAAACTTGTAGTACCATCGATGATGTGCATCATATTCTATTAGAGTGTCGTATTAACACGAAGGAAAGAGAAGAACACATGCGCCGCTTTAACTTGAATAAATTTAATGTTGGTCTTATTCAGTCTATGTTAGCTGAACTTAAACCAGAAATGTTTGAACATCTCTGTCAAATATTGATGCCCATTAATTCTTCTCTTTCCGCGTCTAGGGAAAGTAGATAGTTTTGTTTGAGAAATCAGTTCAGGGTACGATAGGGCTGATATACCTGAAGAAGGTAAAAGCCCTTAAAATAATACAAAAAAAAAGTAACAAACAAATTCACTTTTACATGTATTATGTCCTTATTAAGAATTGACTACCATGTGTATTTTTTTTTTAATGGACGTTAATGGAATGTTAACCTCGCCTGCGCTATCGGTATACACTGGCGGGGCACCAGTGAGGGATGATAGGTGACGATGAAGCAGGTCAGTTGTCCCATCGTGAAGAGTTCCATTTTTTTTTTCAAAATATTGTCTTTAAAATCATGAATATTTCTCCAGCTTTCTTTACCCAATTCTTCACATCGTTCATCCTGGAACCTACGCAGCAGTTTTATAGTTGGCTTCGGGGACGTTTGTTCCCCCCTCCGCCTCGTGCCGCCACGCCCTCGGAACCCAGCCGACCGTCGCCTCCACCAGGCGTCAGGAGGCGGGGGAACATCTATCGGCTCCCAGGAGATAGATCTGGCGATGACGACAACAATACGTGGAATGGAAACTCAACCCAGCAGATGTAGATTCCTTAAGATTTGTGATTTGACTCGGTATTAGGGTGAGTATTGTTTTGAGATTCTGAGGGAATTTTGATAGTTTCCCAAAAACTGAACGGTTAGAAATAATGTTCACGATATTTCGATGTTTCGTATCACATTCTGAGATAATTTTGAGAGTTCCTCGGTAATTGAATAGTTAGTTAATATGTTTACAGTGTTTTGATTACTTCAAAAACATTCTAAAATAATTTCTGAGAGAGTTTTTCAAAAACTGAATTGTTAGAAATGATTGTCACAATGTTTTGGTTTTTTTTTTTTTGAGACATATTCTGAAATGATTTTGTGAATTTCCATGGTGAAACTGAACTGTTAAAAATAATTGTAACAATACTTTGATTTTTTTGAGACAAATGCTGAAATGATTTTGTGAATTTCCATGGTGAAACTGAATTGTTAGAAATTGTGTTATTAACTTATCTTTTAAAAGGTTACCTACAGCAATGGGGTGGTTTTACATACTTTTTTTTTATATACAATTTAGTGTTCAATCCATCAAAATGGTCAAGAAATAAAATTATTTTTAATATTCATGTTAAACTTATTTACCAAATTAAGTCGAAACACTTTATAGGAAACGATAAATATTGTAACCTCACCTTATTCATAAAAACTAAAGACTTCTTCAAAATTATTTTAAGTTTTTTATACAACTTAGAATGGCAAACAAGCTGACGGCCCACCTGATGGAAAGTGGTAACCGTCGCCTATAGATATGTAGGATTGATAGTAGGGTTCATCGAGTGAGTCCCATGAATACCCCCCGTGCGTTGCCATTCCTGAGGTCTCAAATGTTATTCCTCTGTACCCTGTAAATTCACGTTATATCCCACCCTTCAAACCGAAACACAGCCATGCAAACACAACTGCTTCACGGTAGAAACACGAATGGGACAGAGGTACCCAAGCAAACGACTTTTATACAAAGTCTCCGTCTATTGTTGTTTTGTATTGTAGCATTGTTTTGTCACTTTCTTTCAAATTAAGAATTTAGTGCTAAACAAAGAGGACAAAATATTTCAATAACTATTGAAATATTTTATACTATTGAAATAGGTCTTAGAGAAGTTTAAAATTTTTATGAATAAGGGGTAGTTCTATATAATATATAATTTATATATATATATATATATATATATATATATATATATATATATATATATATATATATATATATATATTTTATTATCAATAAAAATACAAGTTACAGAATTTATGTTACATTAGCATTCAGAAACCACGTAGGTGTATATTAATACTAAATACATTAAAATTATTTAAATTGTATTAAAACCATGCAAGATATATATATATATATATATATATATATATATATATATATATATATATATATATATATATTCAAACATTTATGTAATAAAGTACTTTCTCATAAAATTCAAATTACAAATGTTTTACTTATATTTAATTAACTGTTTATATAAATATTTATGTTAATATTAATGTTGCACTCGGGGGGGGGGGGGGGGAAGGATTGTTAGCAATGGAGTTTGACAGCCCCATTGCTAGCAATATGCTCTATTAAGTCGACCGTGGTTCCCACTGGAAACCATCGTTTTTAATTAATGTCGAATGCGTCGCGATGAAAAGGCAGGTCCGTCAGCCCATCGTGACGAATTCAACGATGAATTAGTCACGATGGTTTCTAGATGGAACCGTGTGGAGGTCTACCTGATAGGGTATATTTATAGTAATGGGGAGTAATCTCCCCATTACTGGAGTGCAAAGAGTTAAGAATTACATGTGTATATACTTTATTGTGTGCTATTTGCCATACTTCTAGACAAAGAAGGGTCCATATCATTGTTCAGTATAACACGCTTTGGTGCTTCGTCATGTGTAAAGTTAAAATATCTCCAAACTTCGCCATACAAGCAAACAAGCTGACGGCCCACCTGATGGCAAGTGGTAACCGTCGCCTATAGACATGAGCAGTACCATGGACATAACAGAGTATACTGTTTCCTCCACGATACTGATCTTAAAGTTGCTGCCTTTATGACTTTCTCATTCAGAGGGGTTTACCTCGCCTGCATTGTGTACTAGCAGAGCGCCAGTGAAGGATGATAGGGGAAGGTGAAGTCAGGGCAGTGGACTCGCTTTAATGACCTGATTATCACTGGTGATTTCTAGGTTAGGAGGGAGGTGTGGAGTTATGTTGCTAGCGACAGGGTTGCCAGCTCCCGTTTCTTACGATCTCCTGCTACCATTTGCTGTAGCTCTGTAATTTTAAGTTTTACACTAAAATTACATACATACATATACATACATATCTGTCACGCCTGTCTCCCATTAGGGTAGCCAGAAACAATGGAATGCCAAATGCTTCGATTCAAACAGACCTCTTTCGCTTCCTCCACATGCATCAATCTTTTCATACACGCTCGCCGGTTACGGGTACTTTTAATTTGGCCCTTCTTCAGCACGTCGCCTATTTGGTCGACATACGTCCGTCTAGGGCGGCCCCTACCGACATCTTCATTCACTAAAATTACTGTTAGTAAATTTGACTAAAGTTTATATAATTAAATTAAAAGAGACGAGAGGAAGTAAAAGAAAGATAATTAAAGACTAACTTGAAATATTCGTTTACACAGTGTCTAATTTCTAAATTTTAAGTCTATTCTCTATGTAATTTTATGTTCTCTTAATTCTAAAACTATCCGGACGAGTGGCGGTCCTCCACCGTGCGTTTTTCAAGGCACTTTCTCCCACGCACAACCACTCTTTGGAATCAACTTCCAGCAGCAGTATTTCCGAACCGATACGACAACATAACCTTCAAGAAAAGAGTATATTCCTTTTTAAAAGGCCGGCAGCACACCTGCAATGCCGTTGGTGTTGTGGGTGATCATGGGCGGCGGTGGTCATTTACAATCAGGTGAGCCGCATGCTCGTTTGCCCCTTGTGTTAAAAAAACAGTCAACAAAATCATAATTCTGGTTATTAGTAAAGAAAATCGAAGTTATCAATAGGTTTTACACTACTATATGTCAAGTATTATTCGATCTCCGGTCTCATTCGTTTCGTTCATTTCATTCGTTCATAAATGTCATTAATTTGAGAGTGATTTCGGAACTTTGAGAATGATTATGAAAATTTGAGAACGATGCTGATATTTTGGTAATGGTAATAATTTCAATAAATTATTAAAAATTGTTACTTTCTTTACGTTGCATTGAAATAAAATTAATTAAAAAATGAGACTAGTTTTCTAATGTACTTTATTTATACATTTGTTGATTGCATTTCATCTAGTTTTACTATAATTGTGTGTTTGATTGTAATTCTATATTTGTTGTTCGTTTGGTTCCTAAAAAAATTATTTTTTTAAATTGTTTTTTGTTTCTTAAAATCCATATCTGTTTTGTACACACTCAAGCGCTACAAATATCAATCAATAATAATACTGCCATCTCTTGACGTTTTTATTAACTACAGTTTTCGCGATGTTTAAAAACTTCAATAGATGGCGCTGTATATATATATATATATATATATATATATATATATATATATATATATATATATATATATATATTGAAATAAAATTATTTGTACATCATAATTAGTCTAAATAATAATAATGCTCCTCTGTCTACCCCATAACAGAGCTAGCGTAAAAATACGCACTCATCAAACTATTTATTTCACCATTTCGCCGAATATCAAAACGTGCTACTGGTTTCAACTAAATTAAGTTTTCTAGCATAGTTATAAACTATAGAATAAATATTGTAAAATATTAAAAAATAAATTTGTTATTGGATTTTTGTGTTGCTTTATTTATTTACATGTGTCTATATTATATAATTTTATTTTTGTGTGTAAATTTTTTTATGCAACTTAGAATGGCAAACAAGCTGACGGCCCACCTGATGGAAAGTGGTAACCGTCGCCTATAGACATGAGAAGTACCATGCACATAACAGAGTATACTGTTTCGCCCATGATACCCCCCGTGCGTTGCCATTCCTGAGGACTCAGGTGTTATTCCTCTATACCCTGTAAATTCACGCCATATCCCACCCTTCAAACCGAAACACAGCTATGCAAATACAACTAACTGCTTCGGTAGAAACATGAATGAGACAGAGGTACCCAAGCAATCGACTTTTGTACAAAGTATCCCTCCTTCAGCTCGATACGCCATTTAGAAGTCTATTTCCTTGATTTTTTTTTACAACACGGGGGGCAAACGAGGATGCGGCTCACCTGATGGTAAGTGACTACCGCTGCCTATGGTCACAATGATATTCCTATTTCTGATATCCATGTAGAATTGATAGTAGGGTTCATCTTTTAAATATATTTAATCAATAAGTAAAAAACAATAATTATTTTACAATAAAACAAATAAATTTTTAAATCGCCCAAGTTAAGTACACTCTCTCTAATCGTTGGCCCGTGCGCGGGATGCTCGCGGTGCCAACAATCACAAAGCGAGTGCGCGCATCTTGACCAAGTGAGTCCCGTATATATATATATATATATATATATATATATATATATATATATATATATATATATATATATATATATATATACAAAATGTTTGTTTGTCTGCTTGTTTTTAACTAATAAAAAATTCAATTATAAAAGTTTATATATATAATAAGCGTTGGTGAGTATTATCACCACATCCACATGTGCGAAGGAAAAGGGAAAAGCTAGTCAATATGTCTTACAATGTAATCACTTTCGCCTGCTAACTATTATAATTACCGGCATGCAGTTAGTCACGGACGCGTTAACTGTGTACTCTGAGTAACGTAGCGTGGTGCGTGTGACAGCTGATATTTTCATTACATTTCAAAAAGAAGGAAGTACCCAATTAGGTTGTACTTTTGTATGTTTGTTACCTCATAACTCCGCCAGTTGTGAATTCTATTTTTATCTAAAAGGTTAGATAGATATTTTTTATTGTTACTGTTGTATATTTGTATGTACACATAAATATTGTATTCCGTGACGGTATTTTTGAAATAAAGACAGAGGGCATCTGGCATCTTGTCGTTTTACTACAGTTACCTCCATAAGATTACAATAGTATTTTTTTTATATTACTCTCATTAATAAGACCGCCTCACTGTACTCATACAACTGTATCGTTACATTTATTAATTGTCTCGCTTATTTCCTATATTGTATAATGCAAACAAATCATACTCATTCATTCGTTCAATAGTAAATTATATATATATATATATATAGTATATACTTGCCCTTTTCTATCTGTTCTCCCTTAACCAAAGGTTGTCTGTAAGAGACTGCCCTAGCGATAAGACCGCCTTTTGTACCTTTATGTGTATATTTCAATCTGTATTTATGTTACTGTATTTCATTTGAATTAGTCACTTGTCATTGTATATTTTTATTTATGGTGCAATAAAGAGTTAAATAAATAAATAAAAATAAATTTATTATAAATACAAACAATTATAAGAAAATATTACACTAAGAAAATAATAAGCGACCTTATCGCTAAAAGCTATGTCTTCCAGGCAAGC